CCAGCTTTGTACAAATGTTGTAAAACAGTTTTATCGACATTTTCATAGTGGATTTATTTTTCCCCAAACCAAGGTGGTGAAGAATATCATATAGTCGCACCATACGAATTTTGAACTTTCATTACTGGTTTAATGGGCTTTAAATTGTCTGAAAATTATGTGGTCCAAATACATTTAGGGTCTGAACCGTCATTTCAGGTGACACAATTTCGATTTCTTATACGTGGGTACCCTATATAAAATCTTATGACAGACATTTTTGAAGTTATTTGGAGGTCAAGTAAAAAAAGTTCGTCTTGTGGTATATAGTTAACGGTTCAAGAAAATAAGGACAAAAAAAAAACGCGCAAATATTCGAGATAGAACGAGGATATGTTTTACAAAAATATTTCTCTTTCGACAATCCATGTCATATCAAAAATAACCTACTTTATCTTTAGAGGTACCACCAAGAAATTACACCATAACTCAAAAACTTGACTCGCCAAGGGCTTACGAATTTTCCACCTCCCAAAATTTTGCCGAACAATGTAATTTATTACGCCTTAAAATATGATTCTTAATATCACCACTTGTATAAACTTAAAGTGATGAAGCACATTGGTCCTTTCCTTACTGCTTTTAAATGCAGAATTCTGAGCACGAATGATATCTATAAGCTTTATGTTTCTGTGTTCGATATGTTGTAAAGAAAATTCGAATTTTTCTTAGAACTGCGAAATAAATATATTGCGAATACATGTTTGCAGCTTTCAGTTACATGTAGTATCCTGAAAAGTTCGTGTTTCCTTTTTTCATTGGAAAATGCTACAAACTCAGCGGGAAAACTAAACCTTTTACGATGTTGTCAAAAGGGCAAAAATCACTATCTTAAGTGTTTGTTGGCTGGTCGATGTTGTTATTATTGTTGTTACAATAGATATCTCTCTTGTAAATAGACGATAAAAAGTTTCCGGTGGGAAATGTGAAGCCAAAGGATGTCATTTACAAAAAAAGGAAAGGTTTAAAAGTGAAAAGTAGAAAAGAAACGTTTTCATTGATTTTCCGTGTTTCTTTAAACGATTTTTGTTTTGTGCTCTTATCGCTAACAGCTAATGAATATTTTAGGGACTCCTTTTTCACAGGAAGGATGCTCACATTATATGGGTTGTGTTGTTGTTTTTCATCGTGCAGGGATCTTTTGTATCCTTTCGCACCACCATGAGTTTTGGTTGTTTGATCCCAAAGGGAAATGTCACGTTTTATTGGCGCAATTTTTAGGGGACGCTAAAGCTAACACTTTGGGGCCGTTTGTGTTGAAGTTATTGGGTAAATAATAATAGAAAAATCTGTCGATGTATTGTCATTATATTGTTAATAATAATAAAAACAAGGTCTTTAATTAGTCAATAAATTTTAATAATGGGTATTGAATTTAATTTCTCTTTAAAGTGATTCACTTTGACTTTAAATAAATGTTGTTAAATTAAATGCTTAATTATTGGATTGTTAGTTTTGTGTGTATACTATACATTGCATCTTTATTTACATCATTGATTTTTTTAAAGATTATGAATAATACATTAACACACACACGCTCTGACATTTCAAGTTCTATGTGTGTTCTGAATTTTGTATATCAAATGTGGTTTTCTATGAACTTGAGTGTTTCCAGAAATAAACGTTGATTGTTGAGAACAATAATGTGTTAAATTGAAATATATAAAAAGTGTGGTTTGCGCGGTTTATTTACTGCTAACGTACATAAGTAAAACCTCTCCAATATTGACGACCCACGGAAACGCACTTGCCATGTGCCCACGTTGTACAGAACAGGTGCAGTATTCCTTTTGGCGGATGTACTCAAGAAGTACAATGCATAAATTATTGCCTAAATGCAAATATCGGCAGGGAAAATTTTTTTAGTCCCACCGTCGGAAAATTCAGCCTCCATGAAGAAACATCCGACAGCGGCACGAGGTTGATTGACTTCACGGCAGCAAAAAACATGGTAGTTAGCAGCACCACATTCAAGCATCTCGATATATTCAAGGCCACCTGGATTTCTCCTGATCAAGCAACGAGAAATCAAATGCATCATGTTGTGATGGACGGAAGGCATTCCTCCAGTGTTTTAGACATTCGATCTATACGAGGAGCGAATATCGATTTGGACCATTACCTTGTGGCATTACCAAGGTTCGCACCCGTCTTAATGTAGCAGCAAAGGTGTGATCTAACACAACACGGAAACTCGACGTCGAAAAGCTGCAAACACAAAAGGTAGCCGAGGCCTACTCCGCTCAACTTACCTATCTGCTTGAAGAAAGCACTTCTTGTCCCGATAATAGTATAGAAGGACAATGGCAAAGAATTGACCACTCCCTACAAACTGCAGCAAAAACAACACTTGGGTACCAAAACCACCACCAAGAAACTCATGGTACGATCAGGAGTGTCGTAATGCTACTGATGTGAAAAACGCAGCGTATAGGGCAACCCTGAAGACAATAGCAACGCGTAATGCGATGGAGAACTATCGGGAGAAAAGAAGAGAGGAGAAACGTGTTTTCAGAAAAAAGAAGAAAGAAAACGAAAAACGTGAGCGTTAGCAAATCGAGATGTACAGGAGTCAGAATGAAGTCCGGAAATTTTACCAACGAGTAAAACACCAAACCGAATGCTTTGGTGCAGCCACATCCTCCTGTAGAGATGAAGAAGGAAGCCTGGTGACAGACACATATAGCGTGTTGAGGATATGGAAGGAGCATTTTGAAAAGCTTCTGGTATCAAATAGTGGCGTTGAAGAAGATACCCCAGATGCGAGTGGTAACAGCCACCTTTGAACAAATTGAAAAGGAGTCTGCCAAACTGGGTCTGGCACTAAATGGCGAGAAGACCACACTGGTGCTATCAACGCTAAGACGCCCAGTAGTCTCCAACTGTGGAACTAGAAAACTACAGCTTCGAGATAGTCAATGACTTTATATTCCTCGGTACCGCCATACATGAAACTAATGACATCAGTTCTGAAATTCGGAGAAGGGTAGTGCTGACCAACTTGTGGTCTATGTAAGCAGTTTAGAAACAAGGCCACATCTTGCCGTACCAAACTCACACTCTATAAGACGCTGATACTACCCGTGCTGGTGTATGGATCAGAAGCATGGCACTCACGCAAGCAGCTCTTAGAGTGTTTGACATAAAAATTCTCCGTTGCAAAAGATGCACCTGCAAATCTTTCTTTAGTTCGTCATATTGGAACAAATGTTCTGCTTCGAGTCAGCTAATTATGTAGTAATTTTGTCAGCTAAGTAATTTCGAGTCAGCTAAGTATGTAGAGTAATTTTGTAATTTTTCACAGAAAAGTTTTGTTCCATTTGACATGCTAAAATATCGGACGATTTTTACGAAAACTGTCATACTTTTTCTCTATGGAAAATTTTGTGATATTCGGATCATATTTATGAACTCTAGATCAGTATCAAAAAACAATAGGGGTCTTCTTTGGCCAGAAGCGGTCCTACATGCAAAATATCCGAATGTCCGACTGGCTGGTGCGCACAATAACTGACAATTTCCTTCCAACTCAGATTCGATCGATGGATTGTGCATCGTAATATTTGTACGAGACCAACATTGAATCTGAAGAGGTGGTATATAAAGTAACTTTTTCTTGTATCTCACCAAACGGTCAACTTGTTGATAAAAGCATATGCATTGTATAATGTGGTATAAAATTGGCAGAGCTTAATATTTATACTAACCAAATATCCATTATCTCTGGTAACTCCCCCAAAAATTCAAAAACAATAAAAAACATGATTCGCTCTCGACACTTCTCCTTCGTAAACCTCAGGGAGATCTTTTGATTACAAACCATATTCATTTGGACCACGTGAAAGATAAGGTTCACGTCAATAGCACATCGTCGATTCAAGGTCTCAATGACCTAATAGACCTCGCAATATTAAAGATAATCTTTAAAAATTACTGACTCCCAATCTACCAAAAATTTGGTCGAACAAGAAGATAGTCTCTTTACAAATTGCCCTAAGAACACTGTTATTTTCCCAAGTTATCCCTACGGCCATATTATGTATGGTCCGGACCCATACCAAATGTCATGCATGAACAGATACACGGTTTCGATGACAAAGACATTTTTTATGACAATCGGGGTCAATTTAAACGTTGGTGGGACAACTACTCCATCCTGAATCTGTACAGTCGCATAGATTGTTTTACCGAATAATATAATTATTTGGGAGATTCACAATTGGAAAACATAGCCCATAATGAAGGTCTACGACTGGCCTACGAAGCCTTCACGAAATGGCATGGTGATTAGGTATTTAAATGACCCTATTTTAATTTCCAACCAAAGTGGATGAAATTTTCCGTTTAGAAATAGTCCATAAAAGTTATGGGGAAATATTTTTCAATATGTTGAAGGTTTTAGACCAATTTTGGAACTTCGGATTCTTGGATTTACAGAAATGTTTCAATATAGGACAATATTTATTAAAAGTTCCTCATAACTGTTTTCCCATACACAGTATTAAAACGTTATTTTCTTTGTTTTGAGATAGGCGGGTCTTTATACCGCTTCATTTTAGGTATCGTTATGGTCCTAGACTTTTTCCCAGTAGAAGAGGCTTTAATTTTTCATTCCCAGCTCTTGGGGCGTAAACATTGAGTAAACTTCGGCATTGGTATGACTTCATATTTAATTTTTAAAATTTTTATAATTAGTCTACTTTAGCTTGAAACCGCAATTATTTACTGTGAATTCCATGAGTTATGATAACCTTTCTAACCCATTAAAACCGAAAAATGTGTTTGCACACTCAGAGAGAGCGAAAACAATACCAGTTTTCAAAGACGATTCAAAACATATAATTCATTTAACCGAAATTCGTTCGTACAAAAAATAAAAATAATAAAATAGAAAAATGAAAATATTCCTACAATACTTCCTCCTTGCAGTGGCAATTTTATCCACCTCGCAAGGAGCCACCATGAGTCGGGATGAACAAAGACAACGACGACAAAAATCCGAAGAAATACGAAAATATATGAATTTATCGGTGAATCCATGTAACGACTTCTACGAATTTGTGTGTGGAAATTTCAATCGTTACAATCCCACCGAAATACAGGTGGATATATTTTCCATGTTGGAAAAGGAATATGAAAAGAAACAGCTGAATGCCCTGACACGAGAATCTCCGGGAGATACTGAAATGGAGAGGGGAGTAAGGAATTTTTATAAATCCTGTTTGAGTATCGATATGAATGTTTTAAGGGATAAATTGAAAAACATTGTGGCGGAATTTGGAAAAATGCCTGCCCTGGAGGGTGAGCGATGGAGAGAGCAGGATTTCGATTGGTTGAAGACAGTGGCGGAGATTGCCCATAAATATGATGTGAAGCTGATATTGAATTATGAAATGTCCGATGAGGGTTTAGATGGTAGACGTTTGCAGTTGGGCCTCGAGAATCTTCATGAAAGTTTGGCAGCCACCATAATCCGCAGTAAACATGGTTTCAGCGAACAAATGATTATTGCCAGTAAGCTGAAAAGTTATTTGGGTTTGAATGAGGTGAATGCTCAGAAAGTTGCCAAAGAAATTGCGGATTTTAAACAGAGCCTCTCTGCGGCATGTCCTGCCGATGTGGCGAGTAAAGCGACAACATTGAATAAGATACAACGTAAATATCTACCAGATATTGATGTGAGGCGTTATTTAAATTTGGCAATGGGTTCTATGCCTCCGGGCCAGTTGAAAATTGATGATTACCTAGCAAATTGTCAGCAAAATGTGGCGAATGTATTGAGGAGAACTTCACGTCGCACTCTGGCCAATTATATTTTCTATTTCCTCCTGAAGCCCTTTATGATGCTTCATGTGCCGAGTCAGCAGCAGGAGCTGTGTAAAATCGAAACGGCTACACATTTTTCCAGTGAACTCGATTTTATGGCATATCGTAAAGAGGTGTCGCAGCAGATGGAAAATGATTTGAAAACATTTTGGATTACCATAAAGACAACATTTCAAAACATCCTACAATCGCCACGGCTGAGTTGGATACGAAATAATACCCGCAGGACGGCTTTGGAAAAATTACGAGCCATGAAATTGGAATTTGGACAATATGAGCGGAATATGTTTGCCGAAAAATATCGCCAGCTGAAGCTATATCGTAATGATTATATACAAAATATGAAAGCGATTTTAGTGTACAAAGCCCAGCAGGGACGTAGCAAACTGAGTGTCTCCAAGACTAGCAATAATTTAGTGGAGAGGGAAGGTAGTCCCTTCACCAGTCGTCCCAAGAACACTGTGATCTTCCCTGTATCCTCCCTACAGCCCCATTATCTATGGTCAGGCTCAATACCAAATGCCATGAAATTTGGCACTCTCGGCTTCCTGGCCTCCCATGAACTCATACACGGTTTCGATGACAAAGGCATTTTCTATGACAATCGTGGTCAATTTAAACGTTGGTGGGACAATTACTCCTTCTTGGACCTCTACAGTCGCATGGATTGCTTTACCGAACAATATAAGAAATATAATTATTTGGGTGAATCACAATCGGAAAACATAGCCGATAATGGAGGTCTACGACTGGCCTATGAAGCCTACACGAAATGGTATGGTGATAAATTGCGATTCCATCAAGATGTTGGCGAAGAAACGTTGCCGAATTTGAATTACAACAACAAGCAATTGTTTTTTATTGCCTATGGGCAGATGTTTTGCAGTAATACACATTCGGATTTGAACACGCTGGATACTTCGGCATTTGGTCATGTTCCACATAAATACCGTGTCAATGGCCCACTATCGAATTTGGAAGAATTTTCAAGAGAATTTAATTGCCCCAGGGGTAGTGGCATGAATCCGACAAAGAAATGTGTTATGTATTAGAATGAAAAGGTTATGTTCTTTTAAATAAAAATTATTTATAGAGTTTTGTAAAAAAAAAAACAAATAAAAAATATATAAATGTGAGTGTTTTTTTAGTAAAAATCGGCGAAGAATATTAAAATGGGAGACGTAGAGATAATGGGAGACGTAGAGATATCTTCATCTATATAGAAGAAGATATATCTATATAGAAGAAGACCTAGAAGAAGACCTGAGGTCTTCATCTATACTAGAAGAAGACCTGAGGTCTTCATCTATACTAGAAGAAGACCTGAGGTCTTCATCTATACTAGAAGAAGACCTGAGGTCTTCATCTATACTAGAAGAAGACCTGAGGTCTTCATCTATACTAGAAGAAGACCTGAGGTCTTCATCTATACTAGAAGAAGACCTGAGGTCTTCATCTATACTAGAAGACGAAGACCTGAGGTCTTCATCTATACTAGACGAAGACCTGAGGTCTTCATCTATACTAGACGAAGACCTGAGGTCTTCATCTATACTAGACGAAGACCTGAGGTCTTCATCTATACTAGACGAAGACCTGAGGTCTTCATCTATACCTGAAGCTGAGGTCTTCATCTATACTAGACGAAGACCTGAGGTCTTCATCTATACTAGACGAAGACCTGAGGTCTTCATCTATACTAGACGAAGACCTGAGGTCTTCATCTATACTAGACGAAGACCTGAGGTCTTCATCTATACTAGACGAAGACCTGAGGTCGAAGACCTGAGGTCTTCATCTATACTAGAAGAAGACCTGAGGTCTTCAT